TGTTTTCTCATCGGATTTAGGCCACTTATTTTTCGTCACAGCCCTGACACGATGATTTTTTTTATTTTTTTTTTTTGCTAAACGAAAATGGCAGTTCACCCCCGTATGCAGGGGTGTACCTAATTTTATATCTCTTTGTGGGGGCATATGCACCCACAATCCTGAATTATGCCCCCACAATGATGAAAAGCACCCAAAAGTCTTTTACAAGGCTGCAAGCGTCCTTTCGAGAGCACGGTGCCCTTCGCATGCTCTAACGGCGTCCTCCTGACCGTCTCGCGTTCATGGATAGCGTTTTTAATCACTCGGCGCCCTTCTGGGAGAATGGCGCACTTTTGACAGCACCGCGCCATTCTCATGGTCTAACGGCGCCCTCCTGACCGTCTCGCGTCCTTAGGTCTCTGTTCACCGTGCATCCCTCGACTATTCGGCGCCCTTCTGGCCTCTCAGCGCCCCTGAACCACATATAGCGTTTTCAATCACTCGGCACCCTTTTACGAGAATGGCGCCCTTTTCATGATCTGAAGGCGCCCTCGTAACCATCTGGCGCCCCCTCGTCCCCACCAACGTAGCACTACTGACTGTGCGGCGCCCTTCTGGCCTCTTAGCGCCCCTGGACCACATAGCGTTTTCAATCACTCGGCGCCCTCCTAAGAGAATGGCGCCCTTTTCATCGTCTCACGGCGCCCTCGTAAGTCGTAACCGTCTCGCGCCTCCACATTTGGTGCCCCTCCTACTGGATGGCGCCTCTCTACATATTTTTTACGTCCTTCCGGTCAGTTTCCACTTTTAAGCGTGTATTTGCTTAGTCAGACACGCCACTTGAAGCGCCATTCGGCTAGCAATGTTATGAAATTCGGTGTTAATTTAGGCTCCCACATAAAGAATATCTATCGCGCCCCAAAACGGCCTGGCGCCGGGCGCCCCTACAGCTGGGCACCCACAATCATTTTAGGAAAATTACACCCCTGCCCGTATGTGTGGTTAACTTTAAGCTGATCCTCAAGTACCTATGTGTTTGTCTCTTCCTTATTGTCGTTTGATAAATTCCATTTATCCTACATGTATAATTCCCAAGAAGCCATCGCAGTACTAATCAGTGGCGAATCCCAGGGTGGAGGTCACATGTGTCATGACTTAGGGCCTGGGGTCACCACATGCCTGCCAGGAGCACCACAGGCCTGACAGCCGACAGGGACACCACAGGCCCGCCAGGGGTGCCAAAGGCCTAGCAGGGGCACCACGGGCCTGTCAGTGGCACCACAGGCCTGTCAGGAGCACCATCGGCCTAGCAAAAGCACTACAGGTCTTCCAGGGGCACCACAGACCTGCCAGGGGCACCAGAGGCCTGTCAGGGACACTATCGGCTTCGCAGGGGAACCACCGGCTTCGCAAGGGCACCATGGGCCTGTCAAGGGCACCACAAGCCTGTCGTTGGCAATTTAGGATTGTCAGAGGCACCACAAACCTGTCAAGGGCACCTACGTTCTAACAGGGGCACCACAAACCTGCCAAGGCCCAGGGACACCACAAGCCTAGCAAGGACACCACAGGCCTGTCAGGGGCACCACGGGCTTGTCAGGGCCCATGGGCACCTAAGTCATGTCAGGGCCCACCGTAGGCTTGTCAGGGGGCAGGGTAGGTAGGTACCACAGTCTTTCCAGGGGCACCAGCGGCTTAGCAGGGGCACCAGTCATCACATGACTAACCAAAAATAAAGAAAAAAACTGAAAATAGGGCACCACCAAAATTAAGTGGCCGAAATCCGTTGAGGTTTTAATTTTGGGCATAGGTAGGGGCACCACTTCGATTCATGAACCTCCCCTTAGAGTTTTCCCGAATCCGCCCCTGGTACTAATACATCAAATTTAAGGGGGGCACCTTGCTATTGGTGCCCCCTTGCAGAATTCAAGGGGGGGGGGCACGGTGCCCCGGTGCCCCCCCCCCCCCGTTCCGCCGCCTATGAAATCATTTATGAGGCAGTTTGCTACAGTTCAGAAACCCTTTTTGCAGCAATTTAATCAGCTGGTTAAAAGTCTCTGTTATTATGGCGCATCTGTTTCGAAATCTTTGATAGTTGATAACCTTGTGTTTGGAGAGGAAGATTCTTCGAGAAAGCGGGTATTATATCGTTTTTTATGCATATTATTTGGTGACTGTTCTCAGGACAAGTGTTTTTCACATTTTTCAAATGATTCGTATCTTATTCATGAGCCAGCAAGCCATGGCGAAAAGGAAAAAATGTGTTGATCTCGCTTCCTCAGGCACATGGCCGAATCTCTAGATACTTTTTATGTTGTGGCCATCTAGATTTCAAAATTTGATTTTGGTTGGTAGGTTCCTGCAACATTTTAGGAGAATGTGGAATAGTAGAACACCTCTGAAATGTTAATGTGATTACTGCTTACTTGAACTGTGCAGTCTTCAGAAACAATTCAGTAATTTAAGTTATTTTTGTCATTGCTTTTTTGATGTTTTTTTCTTACTGCTTTTTTGTAGGCAATACCTCTTTGATTACAGGTGATATTTTAATAGTTATAGACTGGAACTGAGTTTCAAAATTGTGGGTGTTTGTGGGGCCAACTGAGCCAAAATCATCCTGTTCGTAGTTAGGTTGGACATTGGGTGGCTGCTGAGTGGGAACTGGGATGGGTACTGAAATTGCCAAAGTGTGGCATCTCTTGTAGGGGTAAGCTAGAATCAACATTGCAGGTTTTTTAGTATGCCGGTAATTTGGTGGTGTTTTTGCTTGGGTCGTGGTAGCATGCCGGTATCCCAGAAAATTTTTGTGGGGCGGGGCGGTGCCGGTAGCAGCCTTTGGGGGAAATTTTGCAACTCTACTTCTCATGGTGGGCGGCGGCAGCCCATCTGTGACCGAGTCGGGCCGCCGTGGGACCCTCGCCACTCGGCTCAGATAGCGTCTCCGGGCGGGGACGCGCCCGCGGAGGTGGTATCGAATTCTCGGCCGCCGCTCTTCAGCGCTCCAGTGGCCGCCTTTTTCTGGCGAGGGCGTTTTCAAAGGCGTGCCGCGGTTGGCGCTGCGCCCAGACTCTGTGCTGGAATGGAATCGGCTGATGCCTCGGCGCCCATCCGTCTTGGAGCGCTGGCAACAGACCCCGGCGGGCGTCCTGCAGAGGTCACGGGAGGACAAACAGTGGCTGCAGAGGTCAACGAGGCACTCGCGAAGGACAAAGACAAACGGTAACCACGGAGGTCACGGGAGGACAAACGGTAACTGCAGAGGTCAACGAGGCACACACGCACGGTAAGGAGCCTGCGGGGCGGCTGACGCATGTCATAGAAATCACGGAGAGGCAAACAATGCATGGCTCAACGAGTCACGTTTCAGAAGGGAGGTCACGGAAAAACGGACTCAGCTCACAAAGAATTGGATAACGGATAGACGACACGGTGTGCGCAACCGTCCCACAGGGGTCATTAGATGACAATAGCTGTAGAGCCAAGCGGTCCCTCGTGAAACAACTTGTAAATCACAAGGGGTGCGACTAGGCGAAGATAACACCAAGTCACGTATTCGTTAGGCAGAAGTTGTGCCTAACTACCTCGACGCCGTGCCAAAGTTGCGCTGAAAAGGTCGTTGAAGTCATGCTGCGGTGGTGTTGAGCTCGTTGGAAATGTCAGAGGCCTGTGTGCCGGTCGTAGGTCACGCCGGGAGAGGGGGCAGCGCTGCGCGGCGGTTACGTAACACCGGGCGACAGGCAGACGGTAGCGCGGTGAGCAATGGTCGGCGCACTCGGCCGCGACTCGGAGATATGAGCTCCCTCGAGTTCTGTCTGAAACTCGCTGAATTTCAGCGGCTACACTCGATCTGCATCAAAGCGCCACGATATCTGCTGCCGTGCTCGTTGGCGCTGACTTTTGGTTACAAAGCTACAATATCTTCTTCGGTCCTTGCCTGCATATATGCTAAATTTTCGTAAAGCTTTTTTGTTTTGTTTTGCTGTTGTGCCTTTTCTTTGCCTGCACTGCCCATTTTTTTCTGGTTGTCTGGGCGAGTCCATTCCATTTCGATAAGCGAGATGATGGAACTGCAGACGGACGGATGTGCGCTGAGGCGTGCGGGCTGACCACGTCCAGCGGCAAATTGAACGGAACGTCAGATGGGCCGTACGGAGACGGGCGGCGCGGCGAGCCGGCCAGCAGCGCCGGGAGATTGGACGGCGGCTGTCCGCTGTCCACCCACTGAGGCCGGCGAGTGTCCACCAGTCCACCTACCGACGACGGACGGCGGGTGTCCACTGTCCACCCACTGACGGGCGTCCACTGTCCACCGGTTCACCCACTCCAGCTGTGTCAACCCTCGTGTACTCTCCCGAATCACCTAATCATTCTGCTGCAGGACCGTAGCTCGTCTGTCGAGCTGCGACTCCGTCTCCCGATTCTCCACCCGCCCCTCAGTTCGGTGTCGGACTCTGGAGAGCGGGAACGCCGCTTCTCGAGAGTCCCGTGCCCCGCCTCCATCGCGCGCTGACATATGGCCAATTAGAGCGGCCCTCAACTGGCGGCCCATTATGCCAACGAGCTGCCCATTCGCCTGTCGGCCCCACGCGCGCTGTGCGCCGCCCCGGCGCGGACCGGGGTGATAAACCGTACCCGCAGCGGCGGGCCGAACCGTCCGACTTATCGCCCGGCGGCGCTGGAGACACATAAAAACGCGCATAGGTACCGTCACAGGTATCGATGTAGCTGACCTGACAGCGGCTGACTGTGCTGTCCCGTAGGGCTTCGGTGGGCATGATCCTACGGACACAGCGACGATCTGTTCAAGGCGTCAGACTGATGTCGCCTGTAGCAGGTGTCTGTGATTCTCGCATATGAACGTCCGAGTGTGAACGTCCAGGCTTGCTGTAAACGGTCAGCTGGTGTGTCACCTTGTCTAACTCCTTCCCCGGCGTTCATGTGGGCGGCATGGAATACATCCCCAAATGTTTCGTGTGCCACATAGTGTTCTGACCGCTGCGTCTGTGTCTGTGTTTCAGATCGTGCGCCATGGCTTCCCGCACCAGCCGACAGCACTGGCGTTCGACCCGGTACAAAAGCTGCTGGCCATCGGTACCAAGACCGGATCGCTGCGACTGTATCCTTTCTCGGCCCGAACGGAGGGAGACGGGACGGGGTACGGTAGGGAATGGGACGGTACGGCACACTGTGGGACTGGTGCTGGCTCATTTTACAATGGGGATCAGGTGGCACATTAGGGCGGGGCGGTGGGAGGGCTGTGGGCCGGTCCCGCTGCACTGGTGGTCCCTGCGGAGGGTTCCCCCTGGACCGGGCTGGGGTTTACTGGCGGCCCTTGCCGCTCCACAGACCACTCTGCCGCCCCTCTGACGGACTGGCGGCGGTGTGGATGTCCGGGCTTTGTGGGCAATCTGGCCGGCCGTCGCTCCTTCTCAGAAGCGTCGTGAAACCCGTGACGGCAGTATTATGCAGCGTACATGGCCGCCGCGAGCGATGACAGCACAAATAAATAATGCATCGGCCCCCGGCGGAATATTTGGAAATTGACCTCGTGTGGGATGCCACGCGGCGGAAATTCCGAGCCTTCATCAGAACGATGGCATTTATTCATAGCTGATGATTGACTTACATTATAAGATTCACGAGAACACAATCTCAGTTGTCAACAATTACATTTTATTTGATTGGGAATATTGCTCGTAACATGAACTCCATAGTTTATTCCTGGACGAACATGGTACGGCTTTACCCATGAAACCATATCTACCCATGTGGAAATATCAGCGCTTTTTGTGCACTTATACACAATAATACACATATTAGCCTGTTTGATAGTTCACCAATGCCAGTTTATCAGTACTGAGCGTATTTGTATTGTTTGTCTGTGTCCTTGGTCTCTCTGTTGTTTGGCGGCACCCGATGTTTGTCAGTTTGTTTTTACCTTGACTGTGTCATAGTTCCATTGTGTCCCACAGTATTGTGTTTGTCTGTGTCTTTTGTCTGTACTACGTTTGTCAGTACCCAGTGTATTTGTACCGTGTTTTGTATGTGCCCTGGCCGGGTCCCGGTCCCATCTCCTCTGTGTGTTTTGTGTTGGTCTGTTCCCTGTGTTTACTGTGTTTGTCTGCACCCTGACTGGGTCCCGGTCGCCATCCCCTCTGTGCATTGTGTTTGTGCCCTGACTGGGTCCCTGTCCCCCTCTCTCTGTGTATTGTTTGTATGCGCCCTGACCGGGTCCCTGTCCCCCTCTCTCTGTGTATTGTGTTTGTCTGCGCCCTGACCGGTCTCTGTCCCCTCCCCTCTGTGTATTGTGTTTGCTTGTGCCCTGACCGGGTCCCCTCGGCCGCGGTGGGCGGCGCTCGTCGGTCCGGCCCGCCGGTGCTGTGCTGCCGCCCGCCTCTCCGTCACCGTGGGACACGCCATCGGGCCGGCACGCCACCCGGGCACGCGGCCGGGGCCCCGCGCGGCGGCCGTCAGGGAGGGACCAGTGGCAACCCGGTGTATCAGTCAGGGAGGGACTTGTCAGCCCGGTGTAGCAGTCAGGGAGGGACCGGTCAGTCCGGTGGAACGGCCAGGGAGGGACCGGGCAGCCTGGTGTGGGGCCACCCGGGCACGCGACTGGACCCCGGGGCGGCGGTCAGGGAGGCCGGTTAGGGCTCACCGGGCACTTCGACCACTGGCGTCCGCAGTCGGGTACTGAAATCATCTCACCTTTTTATCAGTCTCTCCGGTCCTCTGTCCTCATCCCCCGATCTGTCCTCAGTCCTCACGTTGCGTCCTGCGTCTCCCGTTTCTCGTCTTTGTAACACCCAACCCTTTTTCTTGTTTATGTATATATCTTCATTTCCTTTTATTTTCCTGTCGTCCTGTTTCCATTCCTTGTCCCTCCACACCCCACCTCAAATATCCACCCCTTCCTTCATCCGCTATCCCTCCTCGTATCCTCCACACCCCCTCTAACATGCACCCCTTCCTACATCTGTTATCGCTCATCTCCGAGTCGCATGCTTCATCTCTCGCCGGTGTTCCCTCGTCGCTCGCCCGTTCCCCTGTTCTCCGGTTTTCGCTCGTTTTGCGCCGGCTCGCGGCGGCCGGCGGCGCTCCGTGGATCTTCTCTGAAGGGTGAGACCGAGTACCGACCACGTGTAACTGCGCAGCCGTGTAGCACACACACAGCTGAAGGGCACGGCGGTCCGGCGGACGCTATCGACTCGGTCGCGCCGCCGCCGAGCTGGCAGGTTTACAGCGCGGCCCGGCGCCGTATCGACGCGGCCAGTCGCCGTCTTTGTGCAGTCGCCAGCCGGACCGGTATAAAATACCCCGCGCATAAATATGTCGGCCGGTAAATGACATTTCCGTACCGGTATTTATGGCTGCGGGTGGAACGGTCCGACTGCCAGCTGTTATTGCCGTCTTTAGATTTATGGTCGGACACTTGTGCTGTATGCACGCTGTTTGAATGTGTTGGAAGGGTTTTAGCGGCGCTGGCCGAGTTGCGCATCAAGCTCGAATGTGTCACAACTGAAGCCCTCCAGGTGACTTGACTGTCGTTCAGTCAGTCGGAGGAGTCCGGATAGTAGTCTTTGTGGTATTCACCCTGATACTCATCTGTGGTCCTCACTGATCTATATGACGCTGCCCGAGATGTGGCACTGGCAGCTGATGGAGAAGGTAATGCATTTCAGGGCCAAGATTTCCGGTTATATAACCGATACATGCGGTCATTCATCTAGATTTTGGCCGGCGAACAATTTTGTATGGTAATATGCCGCGATATAATTGGATGTAATATACAGGGAAATGGAATTCGGGAGAAGATTGAGGTGGGCCATCACTCGGCGCTCCGGAGGTGACGGCTCAGGGTGGCTGGGTAGGGCTGTGGGACGATGGGCAATGTAGCCTGTGTGCTGAGTGACCAGTGACCGGGGCCGGTCAGACGGCTACATCGGTCTCGGGCCGGCGCGGCGGCCGGAGGCGGGGCGCTCGCGCGGTCGATGGCCAGCGCGCCAGGGTGCCGCGCGTCATTACCTCGCCCACCGGGCCGCCTGAGAGGGCCCACCGGGGCCCAACGGGTAGGTGAGAGGGCCCACTCGGTAGATGAGAGGGCCAACCAGACCGCTAAGAGGGCCGATCGGGGCCCAACGGGTAGGTGAGAGGGCCCACCGGGGCCCACCGGGCCGCAGAGGGGGTCCACCGGGGCCCAACGGGTAGGTGAGAGGGCCAACGGGTAGGTGAGAGGGCCGATCGGGGCCCAACGGGTAGGTGAGAGGGCTCAGTGGGCCCCTTAGGTCCCACTGGGTCTAACGGGCAGACCAGGGGGTCCACCAGGCCGCTGAGAGGGTTCCATGGGGTCCAACGGGTAGATGAGAGGGTCTAGCAGCTATGATAATCCTAGGACCGAATCTTCCCTAGTTAGATGATGACTGACACGAGATGAGATTGCAGGAGACATCTGTCAGGGCTTCAAGGTCCCAGGATACAGCTGGCAGCACCCACTGGCACCCATTGAAAGATAGCAGAATCCACTGTGGTCCTTCAGACAGCAAGTACAACCAATTAGGACCCTTTGGACAGCCACAGGACCATTGGGGCCCGGGTGACAGCTGACAGAAACTTCAGAGGACTGCGTCAGGACTCGGAGGGCCTGCAAGACAACTGTCAGTAGGCGCCGGGCCCACTGGACAGCTGGGCCTTGTGAGGAGCCGCTTGGACTTGCGAGACTGGCGCGGCAGCTATCAACACACCCGTCCCAACTGGCAACTCGCCAGCCCAAACCAGACTGATCGTCCTGTCCTCAACATCGGGAGAATCCCGCGGTCACGCTGACGGCCCTGTCTTTGCTGTGAAAAATGACCGGCAAAGTGCTGCAGAAAAGAGAGCCTTTCCTTACTTGTGAGCAGCTACTGCGGTCGGGTTTTGGAACTCCCTGCGATAGCGATGCTACTGCCGGTGAACGCTGCGCTACATGTATTCAGATCACAGGGCGGCCGCGCATTTCGGCTGATTTGCTTTCTTCTACGCCGGTGCTATTGGTACTGCTGATTGGTAGGCGGAATCAGTCCAATTTCGGGCTTCGTTGCGTATTTAGGACACGCGCTGTTTGAACGGGCTGCGGACATGGTCGAAGTTTCACCGTCGCGGGCCGGGCGGCGCCGTCAGCTGCGGCCGGTCCGGCCGGAGATGGCCCAACTCGGGTAATATGTCGACGGCACTGTCCGGCCGGCCGGCGCGGCGGCTGGTCGTGTGCTGCTATCAGCACTGGCCGCCGCGCCGGCCCGGCCCGAACCCGCCAATTCAGCCCCAGCCAATGCATATCTGTCTGCCAGGCTTTTGGGTGTTATTTGTTTATCTAGGCGTGCCGCGATGTTTTCTTGTGAGGAAATTCACAAAAGCACGGCGAGACTAATAAACGGCGTTGGGCGGGACAACGTGCCGCAGTCGCCGGCGCTCGGCCAATTTTCTCACGGCTCAGACGTGTTCACCGTCGTAAAGTGGTCGAATGTTTGCCGTTCGTGCCGTCAGTATTAAACGTTGTCGGCAGTTCCGTCGCCATTCGAGCTGGACCACTCTGCCGGCGGCGATTTGATAGCCTCCGCCGATGGCCGCTCGATGAAGGAGGCTCGCGAGCCATGACACAGTCGAGCGCCGCCGCCGATCGTTAGGAAATTGAATCCGCCGCCGGAGCGCGCTTCCGATAAATGGCAGCGGCGGCCACGCGTGTGTAATGGCGAAATGCACGCTTAGCGGTGAGGACTGCACGCTTGGCTGGTGCCGGGCGCTCTGGGACGACGGGTCATCTCGAGCTGCCGCCTGCCGAACAGGGTCGGTGCTGCTGAATGGTATGAGAGTGTTCTGTATGGTTACATGGCAAGAAAAATGAGAAAGTGGTGCTGAAATTTTGTTCACGAAGGCTCCAAGTCGCTGACTGTGGATACCACATGCCTGTTGGCGACACTCAGCAGCCTGACCTCCGCTCGCCCCGCTCTGACCTCCGCTCGCCCCGCCCCGCCCCGCCCTGACCTCCGCTCGCCCCGCCCCACCCTGACCTCCGCTCGCCCCTCTCCGGCCTGACCTCCGCTCGCCCCTCTCCGCCCTGACCTCCGCTCGCCCTGACCTGACCTCCGCTCCGGCCTGCAGCCGGCGCCGGCTGATACCGTGCGCCGACCACGTCAGTCCCGGCCGCCGGGCAAGAGAGACGGCCGAAGTTGGACGATAAATACACCGCCGCCGGCGTCGGTCAGGGTGGCTGTGGGCGGCGCTGGCAGCACCTCCAAAGGCCGGCGCCGCTCGGAGGGCCCCCGAGTGACCAGGTGGTCGTAACTGACCGAATACGGACCGTCAACGGTCAGACGACTGACATGTGCTGACCGGGCGGTGGAGGGGAGGGAGGGGCTCAACGAGTGGTGGTGGGGAGCGGCGGTTAGGGACGGTGTGGTGTGGAGAGGGTGTCACGGTGTTGTGGAGAGGGAACTGGGTGCTATGAAGGGATTGGTGTGAGAGTGATGTAGAGAGGTTGTTTGGATGATGTGGACAGGGTTCGGTGTGATGTGGAGAGGGCGTCACGGTGATGTGAAGTGGTTAGTGCGAGGATGATGTGCAGTATTGTCAGGGTGATGTGGGGTGTGTCACTGGTGGAGTGTCGGTGCAGAAATACCGCGCTGTGACGGCGGTCCCGAGGTGATGTGGAGAGGCGGCTGGGAACGCGCGGTGTGGCGTGGAGAAGGTGTCGGTGTGATGTGAGGTGTCGGTGCAGAGCTGACGCGCTGTGACGGTGGTCCCGAGGTGATGTGCCGCTCCGCTGACGTGATGGTCCGTCTCTCGGTGTGTGGGACGGAGTGGAAGGGTGGAACCGTCCGATGGAATGATGATCCGCCGGCCCTCAAATGGCCCCTGCCAGATGAGCCGAGAGATTGATGGTGCGCGGAGCCCGGTGATTGGCTCCGTCCGTCCATTCTTTGGACCGGGCTGTCTGGCCTTATTTCAGGGCAATTCGTTACCGCTGTTTAACTATCCGTTTCCTGCCCGGAGGCGGTGGTCGGGGCTTCTGCGCGGTGCCGAGCGGGCCGCGAGTCTCTACCCCTTCACCGCGAGTTTCCAGCCCGTCTCCAGCCCTTCACCGGGAGGCCATGGGCGACAGCGGGTCGCAGTTCGGTGCTGGGCCCATACAGATGGTAGACAAATCGATGTGGCTTGCAATATCTGCCCTTACAGCTGTAGGGAATGAATGTTAGAATGAAAATATGTGTTTTCTTTTGGCCTGGATACGGTTTACACGTTATTTTATTTTGACAGTTATGCCGGGATTTTGATGACGCGTGGTAAAACAGGAAGTCATATTTGGGCAGTTTTTTTCTGGACTTCCCGTTGAGCGTGCCAAGAACTGGCTGGTACATATATTGTGATTTGTGACATTACTAGCTCCTACCTGGCTACCACTACTATAAAAGCCAACTTTGTGAAATCAGCATTCAGCAACAGTGGAATCTGCATACTGTTTCTGTCTTGTGTTTTTGTGTTGTGTTGTTTTATGCTTTATTTGGTGCACATACTGCCGCATACTGCCATGTAAAGTGTGCGCTAAATGTGTTGTCTACGTCTGCTGCCGTGTGGATTTCCTTGACGCAGTGCTCAGTCTGGGCCGGCCCGGAGTGGACATCCACGTGCGTCACGACGGAGACCCGGCCGTCCTTCAGGTGAGGGGGTACCGGGGAATGTCGCAGGGACGTTACAGGGGCCCGGCTGTCCTACAGGGGAGTGTCACAGTTCCCGGCTGTCCTGTGTCCTACAGGGGAGTGTCACAGTTCCCGGCTGTCCTGTGTCCTACAGGTGAGTGTCACAGTTCCCGGCTGTCCTGTGTCCTACAGGGGAGTGTCACGGAGACCCGGCCGTCATTCAGGTGAGGGGGTACCGGGGAATGTCGCAGCCCGACCTTACCGTGATCCGGCTGTCCTACAGGGGAGGGCCACGGGACCCGGACTGTCCTACAGGGGAGTGCCACAGAGACCTTGGTCCGGGTGGATTTCCTCCGGAGGGAGACCCTGGCGGTGTGGGGCCCGTGATCGAACCTCCGCGGCCGGACCGGCGGCGGCGGCGCAGGGCCTCACTGCCACGATATATCGGTCTACCGGCCGTCCGTCCGCCCACCGGCCGACAGACCCGTCTTTTCGTCAGACGGACTCCATAACTCTGGGGAGTCCACGGGGATTCGTTCAGCGCGGAGAGTCCCCGGGGACTCTGGCCAGAGCTCGGCCGGCGCGGCTGTGAATGCCGAATGCGGCCGATTCGGCCGTATCGACACTGCACCGGTGCCGCATACCTGATCAGTCTGGCGCGCCGCGACGGGGAGATCAATTTACAGACCCTCGCCGATACATGGCGTCTTGTGAGGGAGTGGTGAAAATATCCACCTCTGACGTGTCGCCGCCGAGCGAGCCTGTTGGCATGTTATATAATGCACAATGGTACATGGATGATACATTATGCCAATGCCGCCCTCCGAAGTCTCCTAGAGTACGAGAGCCTCACGTAACCTAAATGGACTGCTGCCGCAGGACTTCAATAGATTTACGGGGCTGTCGGTTTCTGGAGTGGGCAGGGAATATGTGGTGACCTGGGACGAGTGGTGGCATTTGGGAGGTCATGTGTCAGCACCTCCCATGTCATGTGCGCGGCCGGTGCGTACAACGGAACACAGAGCGACAAGGAACGGGCGGAGCTCAACTCCCAATGGGCTCTTAGGAGACGTTTCCACAGATTTGAGATAATGTAGGTCTGGAAATGCAAATTAAGAAGTCTCTCACGCACATTTCCTCTGGGACGCTGTTTGCAATGCAGATTCTCGGGTGGGCCGCTGTAAACCGGCGTTGGGCGCGGCTTTTTATCCGCCCTGCTCTCGGCGGCTTCCGGGAGAAATCCGGCGCGGTGGCCGCGCTGTCGGCGCCGGCTGTTTAGGACGGTCCGCGCTGGCGCCGGCTGCCGACAGCTCGTAAAGCGCCGCGGCCGGCCGGGCGCGCTGCCGGCGACTTACGGCCGGCCGCCGCGGCCATACGGGCGCTGCCGGGCGGGCCGGCGGGGGGCGCGGGGCCCCGGCTGCCGAGCAGGCGCCGTTCAGAACTGCCACCACGAGGGAATGCGGGGAAGTCGCCGCTTACGGTATCAGCACATGCGAGAAAACAGATGCAGAAATTATTGAAAATTTTACCTACGTTTGAGGTATGGAAATTGTAGGTGCTTGTTTTCTCGCCTCTACAATGTCACAGCAAGCACATCGTCGGATTGTGACCTGCACAGCCAGGAGAGTCACCGTCAGCTGTGGTGTACTGCCTCCCCGGTGTTGTTCGCAGTACCGCTGTATTATTCAGAGTATGTCACGTACGCTACCGAGTTTATCCGACGTGGTAATTGCGTTTCCATCGACGGCGCATCCCGCTAACTCAATAGATTGCGTCCTCAATCACAGAGTTCGTAGTTAGCCTCTGCGGGCGCGTCTCCGCTGGAACGTAAGCAGCTCCTGGAATATCGGCCGGCGTATTTAGCTAACACCCTGCCTGCGAGCCTACCCACGGCATTGTGACGCCTGCGACCAAGTACAGCGGCGGTATGAGGAGAATTTACCTTTCACATGCATACAGACTTCCATATTGCGCTGAGTTTTTTTTTGTAAGATCCTAGGTAGGATAAAGACGCTTACGAAAAGATCCAGTTCTGTTTCGCCCCTACTACTCAGGCAATGCGCTGTACCATGGATTATGGTGACGTCGGGAGACTGCAGGATAGTGACGTTTTGATGCGTTACACGTAAGCACCTCGTACCTGTAGCGGATAGTCCGTACGTGGTTGTCTCACTCGGTCCCACGTCCGCTGCACTTGTCGCTACAAACGTCGTCACATGGCCGGTCTTGGCGGCGGCTGCGGCTCGAATCTCACCATGTGAGCTTTGGCTGGTTAGACGATATGCTGGGGGCAATCCTTAATTCGAGAAAGGCGAGCCGGTGTTTCCCTGCGACGATGATATGCCGTAGTTAGAAAGGATTTTGATGGGACCGAAATGCGGCGCACATACGTGTTTCCACACGGCTCGCGAGCTGCATTAATGTTGTAAAGTTAGGCAATGATTCTGGTCAAATATCTGACACCTCCCTAGAATAGTAGGGGTGGTAGCTATCAAGGTGTAGGTACGGAAGTGCTTTCCTTGCTACCTTTGCATATTTTACGGAACATTCCGGAATAGATCAAACTGAATGGGGATAGGGAGTGCTTATCTAATTCTGTCATCCCCAGGGATCTTGCCGTTACACTTTTATAGCCGATAAACTTCATGACAATGAAATAACTTTGAAATAAAGCACAGCACATTGATCAAACGGCGTAGTAAAATCGGTAGTATCCCTGGCTTATGGCCTCCTTTGACGCTACGCCCTTAGGTTTTATTCCGTAAGGACATTCGGTACGCCTGTTCTGTCTGTGCTTACGTGGGCTAAATGTGACTTCTGTAGTGATGCTGCCCTCGCTATTTTTGTGCAAGTGTTTAACCGGTAATGCCGTTTACACCCACTGAGAGGCGCGTAATTGGTAAACTTTGGATTCGGTGGCCGTTTCAAAGCCTGGATTTGGGTATCACACGCTGGCCTCCATCCTTCCATGTCACCGGCTATCTGCAGAGCAAACACTGGGCTGGCGCCGGGCGGGGTCTGATCGGGGTCGTGCACCCCGAGTGTAGTGAGCAGCAGACAATCAAACCTGACTGGCTGGTGACCAGCAGTATGCCGCGGAGTCCAGTTTAAACGCACAATTTTAATCCATCCATCCAACTTGCACCATCCGCAATAATCTACAAAGGCTAGCAGTCCGAGTTAAAAGCAGGTGTGTTCATTCTGCAAGTGCATACTCAGCGCAACCCTACAACGACGCACCGACAATGACAGACCGACATGGACACACAGACACTGACACACCGACATAGACACACAGCTACTGACACACGGACACTGACACAACGACACAGACATACAGTTATGACACACAGTTGCTGTCACACCGACACTGACACACCGACATAGACACACCGACATAGACTCACCGACACTGACACATTGACACTGACACTGACTCACGAACACTGACACACCAACACTGACACAAGAGACGACCCGCGTCGGACCCGTGTGGTCTCTGGCCACAAGACAGGCCGCAGTCGATCCGGGTCGCCAGCCCGGCCGGCCTAAAAGCATTGCGCTGTCGGCTCTGGCGGCCGCCCGGTGCGTGCCCGTGGACGGGACAGGTCACTGGGGACACGGGAGCGCGGCACACGGGACACGGACACAGGGGACCCGGGAGCACGTAGCACCGGGTTACGGACACTGGGGTACGGGACACCGGGGACAGGGGGAGCGTGGGAGACACGGGACACGGGTCTCTGGGAATACGGGGCTGATAGGGACGGAAGACGGTGGACCACAGACGGCAGACTACTTACAGGGTGATTTTTTTTAACTGTTAAAAAGTAAACGTCAATGGTGGTCCCTAAATCGAAAAATCTTGTGCAAAAAAGCAATGCACGTGATAGATAAATCTGGGACATTTTGTATGGTTTCATCATTTGTCCCTTTTGACCGAGGGCCTCGGCCCCAATGGAGCCTGAAAATGTCCCACCAATCGGGCACGCATGGTCCACCGCCGTTCAGTAAGGAACGACACAAAACGATGATTCTGAAGCATTGAGGCAGTTCGAAGCATACGATCATCAAGGAGATGCCTCAGAAAGACGTTAAATAATGCACGAACAAGCTTGTAGTCATGGATAACCTTCAAACGGTCCATCTGGCGTATCTGCAGCCTCTGAAGAATCAGTCTTCAGGGAGAAACAAAAACAGCGAATCAGACACCACCAGGGCCGCCAGTAGCAAAATCCTCGACCTGCCCTTTCTAGACTTCTAGTTTTTGGACCCATGTATGGCAGATATAACAAGAAAACATTGGAAATATCTGGCATAGCTGAAAATGGGTGATAGGAGCCTTTTCAGTCCGCCTAATGAGCATGGGAGTCCATGGTGCTGTTCAACACGTGCTCAGGCGGACTGATTCGTATTGGTGAGAGAGGGGGTAACTTCAAGCACAAGTAAAATACACGATGGACGTTCCTTCACATCGTGTCTGCATGAAATCAAAATGTCCCGGAATGCTCGTCATGCTGGTATATAATTTTACAATATATATTTGCATTTTAGCGCCGTTAAACCTCGTTACTTTTTAACAAGTAAAAAAAATCACCCTGTAGTTGAACTTAACACTGTGGAATGTGCTGGGGGCTGTAAAGCGTATCAGCTTTTGTTGCATCTACCATGCTTACCGCATATGACGATGACCACATAACTAGCTAGTGGACCAGGCTTGCACTCTAGTTCTCATTTTTCTCGGGGGCTGTCACACCTACGTTAGATATCATCTCCTAACACGTGCCATGGGCGCCGACTACCAAGGGCCCGGCCGCCCGGCCGTCCGGGCGGCCCCCAAACCAAAACACCGCCGGCACAGAGACCCCTGCCCAAGCTGCGTGGGAAGGGTAAGCCGACAGGCAGTTCAAACACAACACAGAGCCACACCCACAAGACAATGGGACGCGGGCATGTTGGACGTGGACAATGCACACAGTTTCTTCTCTCTCCGAAGGTCCAGGCGGAGTCCAGAGACGCCGGACGCTCCAGCATTTCTCGTCGTTCGCTGAAGTGATAGGTGTTAATGCGTTTCCGGTGAGCCCAGAACTGCAGTTCAGCCGCTCACATCGCCATTAATTCCCGTCGATATACGATCGGCCAAGTGGTCGCGGAATGGATTGAGAAGTGTGATGATCCGTCGGTTTATTATGCTCTAAATTTAACCATCCCATCGTGTGGAGCCCAGTGCTCATAGGGTTTCTGTATGGCCCATAGGTCAGACGGTGGCAGTAATTTGAAACGGAATATTATGCCGCCGAAATGGCCCATATTTCTATAACTACGCTACCGTTCCGGCGACCGTAACTTTTTTCTTACTCCTGAATTTAGATATTGTACCAGTGAAAAGTAAATTTATAATCTTGCCACTATGAAGATTGTTACAGTTATCGTGTATATTTCCTCATCAGCACCAATGAATTGGATTTGATTATCTGCAACTCCCATGGGCAATGATCGAGGACCACGCTCTCTGGTTGAGTAGTGTGTAGAGTGAATAATTGACGCTCGGACGACGTGGGATAAATGTCATCGCCGTGGCGCAGCCCTCTGATCCCACTGGCTGCAGCTGATTGGCGCAGGCGGGCGTCATTGGGCATCAATCAGGGAGCTTCTGAGTTATCCCGAGCCTCTAGATGTTTTGTAAGAAGATTAATTCAATCATCATCTATTGGAGAAAATGTCATTGCCATTGTAGTGGTAATTCATGCTTATGTGCTCGGGTTTGAAATGAGATGCTGTTTTTCATCGGTATTTCACTACCGTATCCTCTTGTGGATTCTGTCAGATTTATCGTAACAAATCCCAGCGATCTTTCTCCGTCATAGTGACCTCGCTGCTCAGTCAGCTGTCATCAGCATATAATCTGACAACCGGAGCGTATCCCATCCATTGACACTCGGTCAGGGCCGCTGGCTGGTGGGCGCCGCGCTGCTCTGATGGATGGCTGGGCCCGGACGGCCGTATGGGCCCGGGGGACCGGCCGGGCCCGGACGGCCGTATGGGCCAGGGGGGCCCGGACGGCCGTATGGGCCCGCCGGGACCGGCGCCGTGCGGAGCGCGCCGCGCCGGTCCGTCTCTGTACCCACACAGCCGCAGAGAGGCGGTGCGCAACCCGTGACAAATAGGCGTCGCGCGCGACCCGCTCGGTCAGTACAGACGCACAATACGGCGTGCCGCCGGGTCGCTGGACGGGGCGCCGCGCCGCGGACGGGGCCACAAAGACACCCGGCGTGTGCCGATGAGGCGATGACGTTGTTATGAACGATTGCCGCGCGGCACGACCGCGGCCGCTCGACTGAATGCATATTGTGCCATTCAGGCCGGCCATGATTTGGTGAATGGTTCGGGGAAGGCGCGGGCGCACCGTAACCTGTCATTTGTCAACCGGAGGCCATTCAAGCGCTGCACATATATCGTGCCATTGTACTAATGCAATTGCTGAATGCCTCTTTTCATGCCTATCCGTCTGCTCATGTAGGAGACGCCGGTTCACCGCTGTGGTTTATGTACGGTCCCGGTGTCGTTTTGTTTCCTCCCGCGGCGCTGGTGGGCCCTCAGGGCTGTTCGGCGCTCACATCACTGCCATGGAAATCTTATATAAGCTAAACACGCTCTCTATGATCTCTGCGCCGGCCGGCCTGCCGCCTCCGTCCACTTATCCGATAACGCTCGCTAATTGGCTCACTTTTCTGCGCCGGATCCAATCCGATTTGGTTACGTAAATGCTTCCGTCGGCCACTCGTACATATTGCATTTGTTTATTGTCTTTGCTTATGAAACATTTTCTACGGTTCTAATCTCGCCGACAATAGTGTCAGGGCATTTTTATATTTGATTGCATTATGAGTTTTAGCTTGCATTATTTCCCTTGCTAGCTCATTTGATACACGGAATTATATAACCGTTGTTGTGTTGTCACATATTCCTTAACAACGTATGCTCATTTAAACATCCATCGATTTACCCCTCCGCCCGCACCAACCGCGGGCCGGACTGGTGACTGGTGACCGGTGAATGGTGACCGGTGGTGCTCCTCCTCTCGGGCAGATCGCGTTCCTGGTGAACGAGGGCGCGCTGGTGACGGCCTGCACCGACGACACGCTCAACATGTGGAACATCCGCCAGAAGATTCCCGAGGTGGTGCACACGCTCAAGTTTCAGCGCGAGCGGTAGGTGGCCAACATGTGTTACGAACGGACTGATGGTTTTGGGCGGGCTGGTGCAAACGTCAGATTGTTAGGGTAATTGCGCAGTGACTATGATTAAAATGTGACTTTTTTGTCTTGGAGGGTAAGGAAGCTTTGGTAATAATCCTTGCGTGCTCACCGTTCACTGCTTCTTTTTCAAATGTTTCCCTTGGTGCTGCTTCCAGTCCCACTGACTGACCGAAACTTCAGATCGCCTATGAAGATTAATTTACCTCTCCCTCTCTTTCGTTTTCTCTCTTCCTCTTCTAATATCCTTTTTTGCTCTTTATCTTCCCTTGGATTTTCTTCCTCTTCTTCTCACCGCGTTTCTCTTCGCTTCCCCTCTCTGTCAACTCCATTTTCCCAAACCCCGGTCTGGTCGACTCGTTTGCACCCTTTTGCCGCGGGCCTGCCCAGCTCTGTGCCGGGACGTTCGGGAGCAGCTCGGCGGCCCAATCTGCATTGGGACGGCGCGCCGGTCCGACGTGTCGCCGCCGCTCTGCGCCGCTGTTTATCGGCGCCGGCGGCCTGTGAAAAACGGGGCACCGAGCGGCCGGCCGGAGCCGCGCCGGTATCGGACGGCGGAACAAACAGCTGCGCCGCCCTGTAACTCGGCACTCCGAGCGCCGCCCCGCCCTGTAACTCGCGGCACACCGAGCGCCGATCGGAGCCCGACGGCCGCCCAGAGCCGGTCCGCGCCGCCGCCAACAAATTGGGCCAGTTTGGGACACACAACGTGCGAGAAAACGGCACAAAAAGACGGCGCTAGAAGTAAAACGAACGTGGGAAGGCAGGTTATATAGGGAATAGGTGGGATGTATAAGGGGTATAGGAACGAGGATACAATTCAGGTGTTAGGGTAATACTGAGGTCGGGAGGGACGGAGAGCGCTGACACAGTGCACGCTGCCGTCCGACCTGCCCGCTGTGTTCGGCGCGGTGCCGTTCGGGTTGCCCTGACGAGCTCGGCGCGGTGCCGCTGGATCTGTAGTGACGTCTGCCCGCCCTGTGCGCAGGACGACGTGCATCAGTCTGCCGCTGCAGAGCAAGTGGCTGTACGTGGGCACCGAGAAGGGAAACGTGCACATCGTCAACATCGAGTCGTTCGTCGTCTCCGGCTACATTATCAACTGGAACAAGGCCATCGAACTGTGAGTAGAGACGTCATCCACCACTAGTCGCTACTCGCAGTATCGGGAACAGAGGTTTAACCTACAGGTTTACCTTAGCTACATTTTCAAAATGATACATTGAACTTAAAGCGATTGGTAAGAGTGATGTCCTCTAAAGGCTCGAACTGTATAACCTCTTTGAATCTTATTTACCTTTATCAAAGCTGACGTTTTTACGATGCAAGGCCATTCATCGAAACGTCCAAATGGGGCATTGTGACTTGATATGATCTTTTGTTGGCCTGACCTCGCCAATAAATCACCTTAGTGATCTGTTTTACGCGAGCCATCGAAAGCCACTTGTCCATTTTTGCTATGAAGGGAGGATACGCAAAAACGCCTCCACGCGCTACTGGTACAGGTGTTTTGCTCTGACCACCGCCATGGACGGACGTAATGAGGTTATGCTGCTCTTATTCAATGAGCGTATCGCACCTGCTCGTGGGTGAACGAAATTTCAGCACAAAAATACCGAGATATTTTGGTGGCCAGCTGCTGCCGCCTACCAATTGATTGAGTTGGGCCAGCAGTAATTGCTGCAGTGGTCGGACTTTATTTTCAGCCGAGCCTCGCTGGGGCGCAGCTGTATCCGGTGCTGGGAACGGCCGCGGCCCCTGACGATGTGGAAAAGCCGCCGTGAATATGTAATCAGGGCTCCATTCAGACGGGCCCAAGTCTCAGCACGTTACGCGGCTGTAATAAACTGTCTGAGCGGGGGAAGTCTGGGGCAGAATGGAGCACAGGACTCCACACAGACGGTCATCACCGCTGTCTGATATTGCCATCCTACAAACGCAGTCACAGAGCAGGTGGAGTGCTCCTTCAGTGTCCTGAACTGGTGCTCAAATCACCCTGTTCTTATCGGTGATGCCATCGGTGATCTCGCGATGAAGAGTAGATAACTTTTGGAGAGGGCGATACTGGGAACGGGCGATGGGGTGGCGGCAGCGGTAGCGCGCGGTGGGGGAGGGACCGGCGCGGCGGAGCGGCTGCAAATAACGGCCACTCTCTCGGCCAGGGTATCTGCCGACTGATGGAAATGGCCACTCGTTCTTCATAAACGCAATCCTCCAAATCAACTGAACCGCGAACCGGCCATCCATCATCCGTTTACGAGCCGGCGCCGAGGGGATTGGAGGGCTCGTGTGCGGGCGGATTTTCACTACTTCACCTGATATTGGTCATTTCCCGTGCTCGGAATGGTTCAAGGGCCAGCCTTTCAGCCGATAACTGGGCAGCACCGATACTCGGAATTCTATCCGGTGACTTTAACGGGGCCCGCTGCGTGTGTGCTCGCTGGTTCACTATTGGAGATTGGATTCTCTCATTTTCTTGTCCCGCGCCTATCTGATATGTTGGCGTTTTTGCGTATGAAATGAAAATCAAACGGAAAGGAGTTCGAATTTTAAGATGATGGCATAATAGTAACAAAGACCCGCAGACTCTCTGTAACATGAGCTTGGCAGTTCCTCGCCGGTGCACAATTACCACGCCCCACAACAGGCTTTTGGGTAAGCACCCATCGGGACTTTGTCTTTGGTGCTCCTATCACCGACTATTGCGCTACTGTGGAAACGGAATGAACGAAATGAGCGCGTTCGAACCGTGGTGGCGCCAAAGGCACATGTATAAATCCGACGCCACGCCCCATTCAGTCCGGAAACCCACCGGTGCCGGCTTCATGAATTCACTCGAGATGGCCCTGAACAGCCCAGCCAATGGTTTGGAAAACATAGCCCTCCAAATGGATCCTGGGGGTGGGGTTTATTGGTTACCGACCGGCGGGCCCTAATTCGCTGCTCGCTGCGCTCTGCTCTAATATCTGCTGACGGAGCTTCTCCAGAGTCAGCGTCTCTGGCTGATCAGGGTGAGGTGCTAAATTGCAGCTAAATAGTTGACATCCGTTCTTAGCTACTGCAAAAACTGCCGCCAATTGGTCGCATTTGCTTTTTCGTTTTTCGACGCGTTTATTTTATGGGACATTTGTTCGCAGAGCTCCCTTCGCTTTTCAAAAAGTGATAGCGTAGGATATAGGTATCGCCCCTACTGTTTCAAAAATATTTACTTTTAAATATATGCTGCTTTGATAAGGCTACTCGCAACATTATTTTGCGTGAATGGTTCAGTTTGTATTTATTAACCAAGTGCTACTCATTCAGCGCTGCAAGAAAGATTGCATATGTTTTTTTTTTTGCAAAGCTAGCGCTAGCTCCCACCAATAAATTCGTAGGGCTGGCGGTCTTTTTCGCGCTCGTCAGACTGGCTGTGCGTCTCATTATATTCGGGCCGTGCGGGCCGCAGCTGCCAAAGCGCGGCTCTGGATGCCTGCGCTGGCAGAGGGCCGGCTGAAAGGGATCAGGGCCGGGCCATCCGTCTCCGTGCGGCGGCCGGCCCAAATCCGCCTGCCGCCGCCGAGCCGGCAGCGTGGCCGGGCGGGGACGGGGCGGGGAGGGCTGTGCCAAACGGCACCCCGTCCGCCCTGGTGCTGGGTCATCATGCGGCAGATCCACTCCTCCGCTGGTCGGTCTGTTTTCGTTTGGTGGTCATTCAGTGCAGTGTGACTGTGGGGTTCGATTCGACTATCGGCGTCCTCCTTCTGCGCCGTTGTGTCGTGGAAAGGCGTCGGCTGTGTATCGAGGACGGGCGTTTCCGACTGCTGACCGCCATCCAAACACGATCGTATTGCATACTAGCGCGCCGGCCGGCGTCTCGGTTTGGCCGCCGATAGCGGAGGCAGTAAAGTCCTGTTTACAAACCCGCACGCTGCACCGGCGCAGGGTTACGCTGGTCTGCGGCTGGAATTGAAGGGGCCAGAGCACCGGAACGGTTTTACGCCGGTGTGTTGGAATTATCTAGTGGGGCCGTTGTGGACCGCGCAGGCTCCAGGGGAGTGGCGGCACAGCCGTCTCTCCACGGGCGGCTGCGGGTCCGAGCGGAGCGCTGCGGCACAGTATGCGGCCAGGCGGCAGAGCGCTGCGGGACAGCCTACGTTTCAGGCGGCCAGTCGGCGCCGCCGCGCCTGTGTGTGTTTCGGCCGGTCCGTGCAGTGAGTGGGCCGGCCGGTCCGTGCATGGGTCGGCCGGTCCGTGTAGCAGGTTGGCCGGCCGGTGCGATGGGTTTTCCGCCCACCGCGCTGTGTCGGTCCCCGCGAGTCCCTGGTTAGTGTCGCCGCTGCAGAAACAATGCGGTGTCGTCAGCGGCGGCGGCGGCCGGCTGACAGCGGCGGCCCTTATCCCACGGCCCACAATGGGCGTCACACAGTGAACGGGCCTTATCTCCGAGACGGCCGCCAATGGGCCGCCGCAATCGATGGCGGTCGGCCGACATGACATGGACTGCGGCACCCTCTATCTACACTGGAGAGCCGCCCAGCTAGATCGGACTGCGGCACCCTCCGCACTCACTCAGTTTGGGGCTTGGGAGTGGCTCGAACTCTGCACTCATTTTGCGAATCTCTTTGCTCCAATACCGCGCGGGTCTCGTGGTGAGAATGGTGGAAAATACGCGAATATTACGATGCCTCTACAGCTGCTTGCTTTTTGTGGAGCGGGCTGTGCTGTAGCTAGGTAAGCAAATTGCAATTAATTTGAGTGTTGATGATGATTAAACGAAGTCGTTTACAACATGAATACTGAAAGACTGTGTGTTCAGAATTTTCCCACGATTTCCTTGTCATGCTTCCAAAACACGCAGACTTTTGTTGAATCATTTTCCATCGCTTAGAAGGCATTCACCTATTCACACATAATCAACTCGCAGCCATGTTGCTCGTTAGATTAGGGATGTGTGCAGAGGACGCGTATTGTAAGCGCACTGTCATTTCTATAGCATCGATCGGTACCGACTCCTTGGAGCTGCGCTACAACATGGCTCCGGTCGGCCGGCGGCGGTAACAAAGCCGCCAGCTCGACTCGGCGTCTGTAACGACCGCGCCGGCCGACCACTGCACTGTCGTCTGTTTGGAAAGGAAGGCCGGACTCGTTTGTCATATTTACGTCCACCTGTTTGGGTCCAACGGTATTACCTGTTTGACTGCAAGGTACTCTTTGCGTGCTTCTTGCTGGCAATAAGTGTGCAGCACTGCATGTTCGTGCTGTTGCGGCTGCTGATAATATGGAATTCACAGTGTTTATCTTCTTACCGCTTTACCATTCGGATCCTGCACTTGGAAATGGGGACAATCCTTATACTGGGACGTGCTGAGGTATTAGGTTGTCGGTGCATTTTCCTGTGTTTAGGAGCAGGCGCTGTCCATTGCGGCACGCTCCAGTCGTAAAGTCCTATTGGATGGCTGTCGTAAAGAGGTCTAGAAAGTGGCCACGCCATGCAGTTAACGAGGACCACAAGTACGTGCTTACGAATCGGTCGTGGATTGTTTTCGAACCGAACTTGTTGCCTGGTGCTTACGGCTAAACAACATCGCTATTCTGTTTTGCGGTGTGATCGTATTGCGCGAATCTTTCCGTTTTTATTTGCAGATACGTTACCATGCTGCGATTAGTATGCGTGTTTGTTTAAACGCGCGTGGCTTAGTTTGATTAAACTCGGCCGTGTTTTTCTTCTGAAAACTTGAAGCGTTACCTTACCGGTCCCACCTTGATGTAAGTTAAGCTTTTCGGATGTTCTTTAATAGGGAAACACTGACCAATATCAGACATATTAACAACCTTCCACCACCTTCCATAACATTTATTTTTTCGCCAGTTACGTTTTTTGCTTATTCGTTTGATATTAATCAAACCAGTGCATGCTTCTTCAACATTACAAACCTAAACATGGCAGACTTATTACAGTGTCCACGCACATTCATATATCAGACAAATGTCATGGCCTGGGCTCTGGGGTCTGTATTAGCAGATCAGACCGCACCATCCACAGCCGTTACCGGCGCTGGGGCCGCCACCCGTGCCGTTCTGTGTGTCACCCGGCTGCTGAGGCGGTAGCTGCTGTCGCGGTAGCTGCTGTCGCGGTAGCTGCTGTCGCGGTAGCTGCTGTCGCGGTAGCTGCTGTCGCGGTAGCTGCTGTCGCGGTAGCTGCTGAGGCGGTAGCTGCTGTCGCGCTAGCTGCGGTCGCAGGAGTTGCTGAGGCGCTAGCTGCTGTCGAGGACAAGGTAGCTGCTGTCGCGGTAGATGCTGAGGCCGGCACCCGCGCCGTTCTGTATGCCCCGGCCGCCGCAGCGGTTGTTGCTGACGCTGACACGCGTCCTCCATCCGTCTTAGTCCGTCGGCGCCGCTCCGCGCCGGTCTGTGCCCCGGCCGGCGGCGCTGCGGCGATAATGGCACCTCTAACGACCTGACCGCCCGCCGCCGCAAATCCCCTATAATAATTCGGACGTTTTTTGTGCGTGCTGCCGCCGTTCCGGCCGGCTCCGCGGGGACACCCGTGGGGGGGAGGGGTGCTGGTTGGGCTGGGTGAAGAAGGTGGCAGCTCTGCCCGGTGCGCCGCTGCACTGAGCCGGTGCCGCTCCGCAGGGACATTTTGAGGGGAGGGGTGCTGCCTGGTGTGGGTGAGGCGGGGTATGACGGCGGCAGCTCTGCCTCTCGGCCGGGTGCGCCGCTGGGCCGGTGTCGCTGACAAACGGGTCCGTTTCGGGTCTGCGGCTGACGCACGCTGACCTTTGGCGGGCGCGGTGACCGCGGCGCATGGTGGATCGGTGTAATCTGGGCGAGCGCGCTGACCTCTGACCTCCGCCCGCTGACCGAGTGGCCCTCGGCCGGCGGAAAATCGCCACCATTTGCCCGTAATGGAGCTCCGCCGGCCCGACACGGGTAATCACAACGCAGCGGCCAGCTCGGGCATTGTGACTTATGCGGCGCCTGGTTGGTGGCGGCGCACATCCATTCTGTGCCGCTAACTCGGAGCCAGGGCTGCCGTTCTGCTCCACGTCATGGTGACATTGAACGTGTGCAGGATGTGGGATGTAACAAACAACGTATGAACACAAGCACCAGTACCTTATAAAAACAAATTGAAGCAAAGTTGCACTGTTTTACGGGGGACTGAATATAGGCGATCATAAGCCATCTTTTTTATGTGAATGCCCCGGTACATGTTGACTCGCTGCCATTCAAATCATTCAGCTTCTTCTCGTTGCTCATAATGTTTTTTTTCCATTGTGGACGAAGACTTGACGGCTATCTATGTCTATGTCCAATCCCTACAACCCCTGGTCTAACCCAAAATCGTGCCTGACTTCGGGCCGCAGTGTCGGGCGGTGATCCCCTCTGCTGTGCCTCGCGGTCTGTTCTGGCCTCTGGCTGACCTTTCTCACGCGACCTGTTCTGACCTCAGGCCGCCGCGCCGAGCAGCCTCTTGCGTCAGATGGTAGCGGCCGTGGCACGTTAATTAACTGAGCTGTGTCCCGGGCGGCCGGCTGCAGGGGTGATGGAGCGGTTGGCCGGCCGGCGAGCCGCGCCCGGCGGACACCTGCCCGGCCCAGCTGACCCAGTCCTGACCATAACATGGCTCAGCTTAGACTCGCATTGTCTGACTCAGTTGACCCAGCCTGACTATTCCGACAGTGCTGACTCAGTCCTGAATCTGACCCGCTGAGCTCCGTCAGAGCGTTTTCTGTACATTGTCTAAATTCATCACCAGCTGCGACTTGTCTCAGCTCTGTCTCAGCCCTGACTCAGCCCTGACTCTAACCTGGCTCAGCTTCGTCCAAGCGCCGTCTGTACTTTGGCTAAATTCATCCCCATCTCTGACTGAATTTGTGTCGGTTCTGTCTCTGCTCTGACCTTAGCTCTCTCAATTCCATCAGGGTCGTAAATCGACTGTCGCTCGTAGCGCCGACTCAGCTTTATCTCAGCTCCGCATCGGTCATGGGTCAGAAAATAGGCTCATTAGTCTCCCACGCGGCTCCTCCGCGCTGCCTAATTCTCACCAGTTTCGTGCTACTGGTCATTATGGGTTAACAGAACACTAGTTTAGAGACCAGACCCAACCACAGTCGGTCTAGCTGAGCTGCTCCTGATGTTTGGTAGAATGTGTCCCGTTGTTGGTGTATGTGGCCCTGTGCAAGTACCGGTACCGGGGACCGGTACCCGGTACCGGTACCCGCTGCCGGCGCTCGCCCATGCGGCTGGCGTTCTTTGAAGCACCATGCTCCGTATGTACCGTGATGGTAGTACCTAACACTGACACACTCCCTGCTCCCTTTCTGTGCCGTAGGTCGAGGAAAAACCACCCGGGCCCGGTCACCTGTCTGGTCGACAACCCCGTGGACAGCAACAAGGTGAGGACGTGAGACGTGACGTGACCGGTAACGTGACGTGACGTGACGTGACATGACGAGACGGTAACGCGCCGACCAGGGGTGGCTATAGGGTCCGGAGGACGGGACGGACCGAGACGGCGCCGTCCGGTCCGAGCCGGTCTGGTGGGCTGCGTTGTGAATTGTGATGTTATCCGGTCTGATGCCATGTGTTATGATCTGATCTGGTTGGGCGTCTTTCCTACCCCCGGCTGAGCTCGTGCTTTATGGTCTGGTCTGACCTGGTTAAGATAGCTCAATTTGTTCATCGACTGGTGCTAAGCGTATGCTGGTTTTGACGTGTGTCTGACAAGGTCGTATAACGGAGTATATCTTGTTTGACCACCTGTTACGTGTCGATGTCAATCACGAACTCATTCCGTGAGCCTTTGTGTTTTGTGATAACTCGCTGTGTGCCGTCTATCGGTGGCGAGGCCGTGTCCGACCAGTGCACCTTGCCGTGTGCCTGCTGCGTGTGTGCGTCATTCCTCCCCGCCCCACCCTGTCCGGCCCTGGGACAGGTCACCAATCACCGGCAGCTGCGCCGACCCGGCCGGCCGGGCTCGGATCAGAGGCTGGGTGCCGGGCCCGGGGCTGCACCGGAGCCGCCCCCCTCCCCCCGCCGCTCCTCTCGGACCCAGCCCGACCCGTCCCGCCCCCTCCTGTCCTGCCCGCTCGGCCACCTGTGTGCGCCCCTGTCCCGCTCCTCTCGGACCCAGGCCGACCCGTCCCGTCCCGTCCTCCCCGCTCGGCCACCTGTGTGCGCCTCTGCCCCCTGTCCCGCTCCTCTCGGACCCAGCCCGACCCGTCCTGTCCCGTCCGCTGGGCCACCTGTGTCCGTCAGCCGCGGCACACTTGGCGCGCCTGCAACGGGGACGGGCCGGCCGTCACCTGTGGCGGACTCGGACGGCGCCGCACTCTGTCCCACACCGCCCGCCGCGACGTCGGGCTGGGACGTGATTCTGCGGGCTGAATGCAGTAATGGTACTGCATTCAGCCCGCCTCCATCTGCCCGGCCTGGACCCCCCCCCCCCCTTGACAGATCTCCACCCCTGATCACTGCTAGGAAGTTTGAAGTACCAAGGTAGAGAAAATTGTTTGGGAGCATGTAGGTACTAAAGCAAAATAAATCAAGCACCATATCCAGTGTACCAAGCACTAAATGGCACTAGCATGCTGTTCCAAGTGGCTATAGGGATTAGGGAGCGACTGGCTGGGAAGGCTATGTTGGTTGCCCTGGAATTGAACCCTGATTGTTGAATCTAAGAAATAAGGAAATTAGCCCTCAACTAGAATGCTTCCCTTTTGAAGCATAGGACGTTCCTCTCAACACTTATGTAGGTACTTTATGAATCTGCCACAATGGCGCGAAATCATGGACAAAAAGTGGATTTTTCATTGTCATTAGACCTACCATTCAAGATAAATATGTATTTTGATGTGTAAACTAAAAAATTCCATCTATAAAACATCAAACATGCATATTCATGTCATTTTCTGCTAGATGCGCAAAAAATCCGTTTAGGCCTGACGTCCTAAACGGATATTTCCCATTGTGAGCCGTCTGTGTTTGAACAATGCTTTACAACAATGCTTTACAACATGTTTGAACAATACTGTATACGATGTGATGGAATAATGCTTATTGGTAACCCTATTCCGTCCGACTTGAATTAGTCGCTCTTACCATGAAGGCAGTACCATTAAAAATCCCTCCTCGTTTTGTCATAAAACAGCTTTCAGTCCCCCGGCGCATTTATACGCTGTCTGAGTGTCTGCCCTTCTCTCGCTGTCGCCTACCCGGGCCGTGTCGCCGTGTCTCCAGGTCACGCGGCTGCACACTGTACTGCACTCACCCTGATTATCCAGTCGGCACAGCGCGTGCCGGCCGGCGCGCCCGTCTGCCGGCCCCTGCGTGACGCGCCCGTGTGACGCTGCAGCGCTATGTGACGCTTTGACGCATTTTTGTGACGCTGGACGTGTTTGTGACGTTTCGTGACTCCCTGATGTCGCTGTGTCATCTCTTTGATGCTGTAGAACGCTCTGTGACGCTGTGGTGCGCTTGTGTGACGCTGTGTGACGCTGTGATGCGGCCAGCAGCTGCTGATTGGGTTCGAGACGGGCCTGCTGGTGCTCTGGGACCTGTGTGATGTGTCTGTGTGATGTGTCTGTGTGATGTGTCTGTGTGACGCTGTACTGCCTCTGGCAGCTGCTGATCGGGTTCGAGACGGGCCTGCTGGTGCTCTGGGACCTGTGTGATGTGTCTGTGTGATGTGTCTGTGTGATGTGTCTGTGTGACGCTGTGATGCGGCCGGCAGCTGCTGATTGGGTTCGAGACGGGCCTGCTGGTGCTCTGGGACCTGCGCACCAAGGCCGCCGACGTGCGGTGGCAGTCGGCCGAGCCGCTCCGCTCCGTCTGCTGGCTCTCCGACGGCAAGCAGTTCATGTCCTCCCACGCCGACGGCTCGCTCTGTACGTGGAGCGTTAAGACGCCGCAGCGGCCGGTGGCCACCCAGTTCCCGCACGGTGAGAGCGCGCTGGCTACAGCGGGCCGGGGCCCGGGGTTCAAAACCCGCCGAGGTAGCCTGCTTTCTGCAAGAAGCATCGAATGGATAGTTAGGGTCTCTGAGAGTAGAATGCTGTAATTTGACGTTCTCGGGCGCCAGCCATTGCTTTACTTCTAGTCTGTCTATTGTTCGTAACAAACGGCATTCGACCTTTATTTCAATGCTTCTTGCAGCGCTTTGTTCTGTTGTTGTATCAGTTCATTGCCATTTGTAGCTGAAGATAGGTGATTAAACGAAAGGCCGCCTGAAATGGTGTGTCAGGACACTGTGATTGTTCCGACCTAAAATGGCTGTAGGCTGTTTTATTCTTCCTTGGATGTGAAATGTGCCAGGTTGATGGCTTCGAAAGTTTGAGGCACCTACTAACAGTGTTGGTTCGATTTAGAATTCTGAGTGACAGGGCCATTTCGGGTATATGACACATGTCATAACTTGGACCATTAAACGAACAGCGTGTGTTATGACACGTTTGAGATAAAATGACTTACGAACAATGGCATTGGCGGTTCAAGCCTGACGTGCTGGTTGCGAGCCTTCTGAATCAGGGGGGGGGGATGTATCTCCATGCGTGGCTAGGTATATATCATCAGACTAATAAGTCTAGATTGGGGACTGTGTCGCTCGTCTGGAGCCATGACTCCACAGAAGGCTGTGCAGTGTGTAGCCCCCGCAGGGCCTGGCCGGTTCAGTCTGCCTTAGGCCCACGTGGGTTCCATCAGGCACACGGTTCCGGTCGGTCCAGCCTGCCCCGGCCCCTCCCATGGGAGCTGGCTCCCCGTGTCGTCTGTTGGGACGATATAACGCAGCCACACGGCACGTAAACGTCAGCAGAGAGCTACGGTTAGGGAGGCCGTCAAACCGATGGCGCGTTAACAACGACCACTAAACGCCGCGGGCGCCGGTCCCCCGGCCGGAATGGCCGCCGGCGCCGCGCTGCCCTGATGGACCGCCGTCGTTCGTCCGCCGCCGTCCGGGGGCCAATCTTATAAACTGCCGTACTTCCTACATCTGGTAACAAATGACAGTCTCCTATTGGCAACTGTGTGTCTGAGTTAACCAACTTACTCCCAGGAAGGTCAATTTACGGTGGACTGAGATGCGTCAAAACCATTCTGGATTTAACGACTTTTCATGGCTGAACATCAGCCAGTGCCGCCAGAAGCCTTTCTGGCTCCCGGTCATTGTGGACCGTCCTGCACTATGCCTCTCTGGGAGACTGCTCCGACCCAGAGCGATAGTGATGTTCCCCGCTGGTGGTGTACCGCCCTCGCCGGTAGGGTTTTCTCGCAGCTGCAGCGGCGGGCGGCGGCCCGAGCCGAGCCGCGGGGACAGCGGTGTCTGTGGGCGCCGCGCCGCCGACAGCGGCCATTCCGGCGTCGGTGGCCGCCGCCGCGCCGGCCTCATCAACGCTGGATAACGGAGGCTTAGCCGGCACCGGCGGCCAAACCGTCGGAAAGGGGTGTTAGCGGCCTCCTGGAACGGCTGCGGCAGGTTATCACCTCCGCGGCCGGCCGCTGTCTCCGGCGCCGGCCGGCCGCAGATAGCAAACGCCGCGGCGAGCCGGCAGATAGCAAACGTCGCGGCGGGCCGGCAGATAGCAAACGCCGTAGCGAGCCAGCAGATAGCAAACGTCCCGTAGATTGCAAACGCCACGGAGTGCTGGGCATATTGCAAACGCCCCGTAGATTGCAAACGCCCCAGAGTGCCGGGCAGATAGGAAACGCAGCGGCGCCGCCCACCCCGCGACGCAACGTGCTGTGCGGATCAGTTTGGACATAATATGCGCATTTTTTCTCTCTCTTTCTATCTCTCTCTCGCTCGCTCTCTCTCTTCCTCTCCCTCTCCCTCCCTCCCCCTCATCTCTCGCTCTCCTTCCTCTCTCTCTCTCTCCTCTCTCTCTCTCTCTCTCTCTCTCTCTCTCTCTCTCTCCCTCCCTCTCCTCCCCTCTCCCCCTCCCCTCCCTCCTCCAGCTCCTCTCGCTCCCCTCCTCTCTCTCTCTCTCTCCATCCTCTCTCTCTCTCTCTCTCCTCTCTCTCTCTCTCGCTCGCTCGCTCGCTCTCTCCTCTCCTCTCTCTCTCTCTCTCTCTCTCTCCTCTCTCTCTCCTCCTCTCTCTCTCTCTCTCTCTCTCTCTCTCGCTCGCTCTCTCTCTCGCGTTTCTCTCCCCCTTTCTCCGTCCCAGAGCACCACCCATTCGAGCAGCACTGAGGCCGCCTGACTGAACGCAGTCGACAGGGCGGCGACAGGCCATCTAAATAGTACTTCGTGCCCAGCTACCCCGCTCGAATACAAACAAATTGGGCGCCGATTCGGAGAATAACAACAGCCAACCCAGTCGCTCGCGGAATGAAAGCGTGCCGCGCCCAGCGCTGGCGTTTCAATAAGCGGCTGCCCATTGTGTGCCAAGTTTTGCTCGCCGCTGAAGCTGTCTCATATTCGACAGACATGTGCTCGAACGACCACGGGTCGCTAGGCACGATCTGGTAATTACTCCGTCGTCTTTCACTTCCCGAAACTGAGAAATCGTCCTGACATTAATGAATCTGCCATATATTGCGCTTGCGATGCGCAAAAGGCGCATTTTAGACCATTTTGACGTTTATTTTATTCGTTTCCAAGACCACAAATGTTTGTCTTTCTCGAAGCGTTGGGCAAACTGGGACTCCCAAAAGCCAGATTCACCCCTCCCCCTCTTCACGGATATCGCTTGAACTGCGGGACGTGTCACTTATTTCTCAGTTTGCCAGCATATTTCATCACACATGTAAATAAATAAATAATAAACAATCCGCAGCATTATTTTCAGCATGTCATTGCCTGCAACGTTTAGTACCAGGCTCCTCGACGTGAACTGTGGATGGTGAATTATAGATTAGGTTGAAATGGATAGTGGAATGCTGACAAATATTTACCTTTGTCACGGGATTTGAGCGGCGATGGAGTTTAAGGTCATTCGAGTTTCGCGTTCATTGTCCTTACTAGGGCTGAGATGCCAGGTGCTTTCTTTAAGTCTCATAGTTCTTGGACAATTTACGGGCTCGATTGATCCCCAGTCTGCAGCCTTCGGTTGTGGATAGTTCCATGACCGTGTCCATATGTTTTTGTTGCAGCCAAGACACGGGAAAACGGCCAGCAGGAGCCCTGCAAGGCCATCCAGAAGGTCTCCTGGCTCTCCACCAGGGCGGGGTGAGTGCGCCGATCCGGCCTTTTTGACCGCTCCTCATGGGCTCATGTAGTTTTACTCTGTTTTGTGTCCTTGTACAGAGCGAACCCGGCCCAGTGTTTCAATCTCCGGCGCCCCGTGGTGTATGACGGTGACTGTGGCCTGTCGGCTTTCTGCCGGCGTCTGGTGCTGAGGCAGCCCTGATCCCGGCCGGTCCGGGCCGCCACTGGCGCCGTATACCCGCCGACCGAGCCGTGATTGGGCCCGATGATGGCGGCTCTGCCGGGCGTTAGCGCCGGCTCAGCGCCCGTGACCCGGCCGGCCGACCGTCCCGGTCCGGCCGACCCCGCGGCGCACTTTGTACCGGCCCGGCTAATGTCCCCTTCCCACGGCCGAGCCGCTAGGAGCAGCTCCGAGCCGCCCCGTGAACTCAGCACATCCGTTCGGCCCGCTCTCAAAGTTGGCCGGCCGTCCGGCCCATCGAGACGCCAGGACCATAATCGAGGCGCCCGCTCGGCCGTTCGGCGCCGCCCGCTGAAAGCACAGCTGATGCCCGTCGAGAACGGCGCTTCCGACGCTCTAATGAGGGTCGGGCGGCAGGGCCGGGCGCGCTGGAAACTCGCAGGTGCTCGCGACGCCCACTGGGGGCCGACTTTGGCCGGCGGCGGGCAACTTTTCTCATTTGGGCCGTGCCGCTCATGGTGTTGAGGCTCATCGGCACGGGGTTATGAGCGGCCGGCGCCGGCACAGCTAGCGGGGAGTGGTCACCGTGGGAGAGCAGCGAGCGGGCCACCGCAGGGAGAGCAGGGAGCGGTCAGCGCTGGCACAGAGCAGGGAGCGGGTCACCGGGGGAGAGCAGCGGGGGGCCACCGCGGGGAGAGCAGCGGGCCACCGCGGGGAGAGGATGGGAGTCGCCGCGGAGAGAGGGAGGAGTCACTGCGGATAAAGGATAGTCACAGCGGGGAGAGTGGAGGAGGAAATCGCTGCCAACAGGGATGAAGGGAGGGACCAGGATGTCATCACTGCTCCGGTGATATATTTTCTTTGTTCGTGCCGCCACTTTGCTACCAATTATGCAGTGGCGCCGCTGGCTGCTATCCAGGTATCCAGTGATTTAAAAGTCGTCTACTCGTGGGTCAGTCGTCTTCCCGTCACCATGCTTCAGTCTGAGACTGCAGACCGTCCCGTCCCGTTCCGTGTCCCGTCCCGTCCCGTCCCGTCCCGTCCCGTCCCGTCCCGCCCCGTCCCGTCCCGTCCCGTCCCGTCCCGTCCCGTCCCGTCCCGTCCCCGTCCCGTCCCGTCCCCGTCCCGTCCCGTCCCGTGTCCCGTGTCCCGTGTCCCGTGTCCCGTCCCGTCCAGCTGTCTCTCGCTCACCAGTCGACAGTCTGGAGCTCCAGTCTGGACCGTCCCGTCCAGCCTCAATCGTCTGTCTGTCTGTCTTTGTCCGGTCAGTCGGCGGGGTTAACACCGTGGGTGTAACGACACTGCCAAACCGGTAACGCGCGTCGTTCGGCGGACGCCGCAGGTTTGGGCGGCGACCCGTTACCGCCAGTGGTGACCAAATGGACCGGCGGACGGACGGTCATGGCAAGGGAGCGGGCATGCTATGGGGAAGGGGCTGTAGTTTGGTGCTGTTCTCACTCCCAATCACTCGTCCAGCGGGAGCTGAGTGGTTGCTGACAGGCTAATCTCAGCAGGGGAAAAGTTAAAATTAGCTTTTAGGGCGAGACATGAAGTATTTGTCATTTGTTCTGCTCGAGTTTTGGATTGTTGATGAAGCTGTTTTCCATTTCACCAGTACAATGGGGCCTGCTGTTGGTCCAAGCTGCTATGCAGGCGGCCAATGCCAGTCTCTGTGCGCACCTCATTTCAGTGTTACCGGCCGAGTGAGCCGCGGCCGAGTGTGTTAGTAATCTTATAATGGACTCACGAATGTAATCCATCACCCGGGAAAGATTCATCATTCTGAAACCAATTCATCATGCTAACTACTTAGATGAAGTTTTGTCCCAGTCCTTTTGCAAAAATATTAGAATGAGCTACCATAGAATGAGCTACCTTTCCCTTGCTTGCTTGCTTGCATTTGTCTCATGTTGACTTTGGAAGGATAAAGTCTTTGCTCTGTACAGAACTTTGTATTTTTTCCTTTTTCAATTAAGTTAATGTAATTTATTTTACTTTCGTCATGTCGCAATGTCTTATCCGTTAAAAGTTTCATTGAAGTGGAGCGATGTCCCTAGTCATCAAAGGCTTGCCGTTTTAAGAAGCTGTTGCTTTTAAACCTGGTAATCCTGCTCGGGCGATGAGTGCTTCCATTGGATTTTGTAGCATTTATACAATATCTAATATCCTTATTTATTTTTCTGTCGCCATTGGAAATGCTGTTTCGATGTACGGGAACTTAAAAGTTTCACCAGATCAGCTTATTTCGAAGCTAAATTCAGGAAAGAACACATCAAGCGCAGACCATTTTGAGCCGTTCTTAAACGTTTTTTTTCATTAATATTATCTTGTGCATACGGCTGCAGTCCGCCGGCTGTGGTCCCGGTCTATACTGTCGGTAGACCCGCTCTGCTGTAGCCCCGGTCGTGGACGGCCGACCAGCCCGGCCCGTCCGTGTGGCCGGAGTGCCGGTCGGACTGTGTGGCCGGAGTGCCGGTCGGACCGTGTGTTCCGGAGTGCCGGTGGGACCTGGCCGGCGCCGTGACCCACTCCGTGTTCACAGGCTGCTGGCGTCTCTGAGCCCGCTCGCCGGCTGGCGCGAGGAGGAAGAAAGGTGCTGCCAGCTCCCCTTACCCCGCACCCCACCGCTAGCCAGACGAGCCCTAGGCGACCGCACCCGCTTGCCGTAGTGCCTGTATGATGACACAGTAACCGCGAGCGGATAGTCCTGTAGCTGTAGGGTAGTCATGCACCGATTAGAGCTACCAGACAGTGGGAGGAGTCTCAGCAGTGCGCGCCTGATCTGATCTCTGACCTGTGACCTGTCTCTGCGGCCTCTCCACTTCCTATCATCCTATCCTGACCTCCTGACCTCCGTCTATCCACAGCCTCCCGCGGTCCCGTCCATCCTATCCTGACGTCCTGACCTCCGTCTATCCCGCAGCCTCCCACGATCCGCCACCCTCCTGCCCCGTCCGGTCCTATCCTGACGTCCTGACCTCCGTCTATCCCGCAGCCTCCCACGGCCCGTCCATCCTATCCTGACCTCCTGACCTCCGTCTATCCCGCAGCCTCCCGCGGCCCGGCTCGCTGCTGCTCTGCGTGGCTCCTCGGCCCGCCCGCCAGGTATATAGCCGCCGGCAGCCAGCCGCGGCCGGCACAGGTAACAGAGCTGACACACTGACGCATACTGACACACACTGACACACACACTGACACACACACTGACACACTGACTGCCCGCCCCAGGTATATAGCCGCCGGCAGCCAGCCGCGGCCGGCACAGGTAACAGAGCGCCGACACTGACACATACTGACATACTGACACACTGACATATGGCCCGCCCGCCCCAGGTATATAGCCGCCGGCAGCCAGCCGCGGCCGGCACAGGTAACAGAACTGACACACTGACACACTGACACACACTGATACACGGCCCGCCCGCCCCAGGTATATAGCCGCCGGCAGACAGCCGCGGCCGGCACAGGTAACAGAGCTGACACACTGACACACACGACACACAGACACACGACCCGCCCGCCCCAGGTATATAGCCGCCGGCAGCCAGCCGCGGCCGGCGCAGGTAACAGAGCTGACACACTGACACACTGACACACACGACACACTGACACACGACCCGCCCGCCCCAGGTATATAGCCGCCGGCAGACAGCCGCGGCCGGCACAGGTAACAGAACTGACACACTGACACACTGACACACTGACACACACTGATACACGGCCCGCCCGCCCCAGGTATATAGCCGTCGGGAGCCAGCCGCGGCCGGCACAGGTAACAGAGCGCCGACACACTGACACACACTGACACACTGACACATACCTACTGACACACACTGACACAATGACACAATGACACACTGACACACTGACTTACGGCCCGCCCGCCCCAGGTATATAGCCGCCGGCAGCCAGCCGCGGCCGGCACAGGTAACAGAACTGACACACTGACACACACTGATACACGGCCCGCCCGCCCCAGGTATATAGCCGCCGGCAGCCAGCCGCGGCCGGCGCAGGTAACAGAACTGACACACTGACACACTGACACACTGACACACTGACACACACTGATACACGGCCCGCCCGCCCCAGGTATATAGCCGCCGGCAGACAGCCGCGGCCGGCGCAGGTAACAGAGCTGACACACTGACACACTGACACACACGACACTGACACACGACCCGCCCGCCCCAGGTATATAGCCGCCGGCAGACAGCCGCGGCCGGCACAGGTAACAGAACTGACACACTGACACACTGACACACACACTGATACACGGCCCGCCCGCCCCAGGTATATAGCCGCCGGCAGACAGCCGCGGCCGGCACAGGTAACAGAGCTGACACACGGACACTGACACATACACTGACACACGGACACTGACACACGCACACTGACACACGGCCCGCCCGCCCCAGGTATACAGCCGCCGGCAGACAGCCGCGGCCGGCACAGGTAACAGAGCTGACACACCGACACACACGACACACTGACACACACTGACACACACACTGACACACTGACACACACACACTGACACACTGACTGCCCGCCCCAGGTATATAGACGCCGGCAGCCAGCCGCGGCCGGCACAGGTAACAGAGCTGACACACTGACGCATACTGACACACATTGACACACACACTGACACACACTGACACACTGACTGCCCGCCCCAGGTATATAGCCGCCGGCAGCCAGCCGCGGCCGGCACAGGTAACAGAGCGCCGACACTGACACACACGACACACTGACACATTGACACACGGCCCGCCCGCCCCAGGTATATAGCCGCCGGCAGCCAGCCGCGGCCGGCGTAGGTAACAGAGCTGACACACTGACACACTGACACACACTGATACACGGCCTGCCCGCCCCAGGTATATAGCCGCCGGCAGCCAGCCGCGGCCGGCACAGGTAACAGAGCTGACACACATACTGACACACTGACACATACTGACACACACCACTGACACACCCGGACACACACACTTACCGCCCGGAGAGTCTGCGTACTGCGTAGCTCTGTTGGTCTCTCAGTTAGGCTCGAGTGGGGGCCGCCTCTGGAGCTCTGACTCGGCCGGTTTTACCGCGGCGCCGGAACAGGTCACGTTTCGCTGACTGCTGCTCTATTGGCGACCCAGTGGCGGTCATAACAAGCCAGTCCCACACACGCACAGAGGAGCACGACAGAGGGACGGATACAGACAGGGCATTGCGCACGGAGAGGCAGACTGCAGAACAGCACGCACGGAGGAATGGATGCAAATAGAACGGAGAGCGGGTCATCCAGGCAGGCAACGCAAATGCATTGACAGACACGTAGAGGCATCCACACCACACGCGGCAGCACACGCGGATAGGCGAGCGACACGCAGCTGCACATGCGGATAGGCGAGCTGCACACGCGGGGGCGCACACACGGATAGGCGAGCTACAGACGCGGGGGCGCACACACGGATAGGCGAGCTGCACACGCAGAGCAGAGGTGGGTGCCTCTGGGAGCCGTCAGCGGGCCGTCGGCCGTCCCCATCGAGACTGTCCCGTCTCCGGAGTCCGGATAGTGGTCAGTCAGCCCCGACAGCAGCACTGTCCTCTCCATGGACAGCGGAGGACACACGCCAGTCGGTCCTGACTCCCAGCCGTCAGTCGTCCTGTCGACACACAGTCCTCTCTGCGGACAGTGGCCAGTCGGCCCCCACTGTCCGGGAAGGCAAACACCACTTCCCACTCACTGCGGACAGGCTGTTTGCACTGTGCAGCTACCAGACGGCCTTTCCGCCTGTCCCTCTCTCTCTCTCTCTCTCTCTCTCTCTCTCTCTCTCTCTCTCTCTCTCTCTCTCTCTCTCTCTCTCTCTCTCTCTCTCTCTCTTCTCTCTCTCTCTCTCTCTTCTCTCTCTCTTTCTCTCTCTCTCTTTCTCTCTCTCTGTCTCTGTCTCTGTCTCTGTCTCTGTCTCTGCTCTCTCTCTCCCCTCCGTCCCTGCGGATAGCACTGTTTCGATCCTCTTGCTCTCTCCCTGGGTGGACGCAGCGACCAGTCGCAGTTGCGGCTCTTTGTGCAGCGTCGTTTCCAAAGATTTCCATAGAGTATCCGTTCGAAATTCAATCGGTCGCTTGTGATATATCCTCTTACATAGCATGACTTCTGCCTGATTACAATTTACACCCCGCAGCATACAACACTTATGCCTATGCTGGGCATATTAGATATTAATGAATATGTAACCTATAATTAAAACCGTTTGTAGCTTTAAATCACAATGACCGTATTTGACAAACACGACAAACACTGGCTTACAGTCGCCGGCTGAACCCGAAATGCGATGCAGAATTCGGAACACCTCCCCCGCACATTGCTTAGTGTATACGTTAGGCCTACCTGCGCGTCTGCGTGCCTCAGTTCGAGTTTGCGTGCGAGTGGTGCGAGTCTGAGTCTCTAGTGTCGTGCTGTATGCCGTTTGACAGTGACGGCTGTGGACGTGGTTATAGTGAAATGCGGTAGTGTCTTCTGCATCCCACAAGCCTGCCACTAGCGCGGAATGTCTGACCTAGAGTAGTTACCTCACCTGTCGACATGCCGTGCATCCATTCGGCCGCAGTCACTAGACGTAGGCACGGCTCCGCCATTTCTGCGGTGGCAGTCCGCCGAACTCACAGCTTTATTAGCAGATGCACCTCAGTTCAGTCCCATGTACGATACTTACGCCTGTCGCAGTGGTCTCTGATATAAAGTATCCTATTACTCATATGATTATGGTGCTTACGAAAAGCTTATGTTATTATACTGTGACTTTGGTTCGTTAGTGCTTTTGTTTAAGTTTGTCTGACTGGTCTTACCGTTACAAAGCAATGTAATATTTATCCAATGTTACATCCCAGCTTTGTCGTCTGATACATTCGGCGTTGAGGCGATGCGGGGCACATGTCACTTATGTTATATATTTGTCCAGAATTGCCCTGTGAGATGAACAGTCAGTCGTATTCTTTGAAGAACTGCTGAAGACATTTTAAAGCTGGCGACCCGTCTATACCCGTGGCTCGCTGGTGACCTCTGTGACCTGCTGCTGACCTGTGTGACCTATCTGACCTCGTGACCTCTGTGTGCGCCGTCTGACCTGGTGCTCCCCGGTGCGCCGCCAGTGAGCCGTACGTGATCTTCACGGGCGGCCTGGGCCACGACACTGCCGGCCGGACCCCGAGCGTCACCGTGATGCACGGACGCACCACCACAGTGCTGGAGATGGAGCACAACGTGGTCGACTTCATCGCGCTCGTCGACACCCCCTACCCCAGCGGTGAGTGAGGGAGACACTGACACCCCTACCCCAGCGGTGAGTGAGGGAGACACTGACGCACCTACCCCAGCAGTGAGTGAGAGTAGACACTCCTTCCCCAGCGGTGAGTCGGGGGGGGGGGGAAGACACTGATACCCCTACCCCAGCGGTGAGTGAGGAGACACCCCTACCCCAGCGATGAATGAGGAGACACCCCCTACCCCAGCGATGAATGAGGAGACACCCCCTACCCCAGCGATGAATGAGACACCCCCTACCCCAGCGATTAGTGAGGAGACACCCCCTACCCCAGCGATGAGTGAGGAGACACCCCCTACCCCAGCGGTGAGTGAGGAGACACCCCTACCCCAGCGATGAGTGAGGAGACCCCCTACCCCAGCGGTGAGTGAGGAGACACCCCTACCCCAGCGGTGAGTGAGGAGACACCCCCTACCCCAGCGGTGAGTGAGGAGACCCCCTACCCCAGCGGTGAGTGAGAGTAGACCCCCTACCCCAGCGGCGAGTGAGGAGACCCCCTACCCCAGCGGTGAGTGAGGAGACACCCCCTACCCCAGCGGTGAGTGAGAGTAGACCCCCTACCCCAGCGGTGAGTGAGGGAGACACTGACACCCCAGTGGTGAGTGAGGAGACACCCCCTACCCCAGCGGTGAGTGAGGAGACACCCCCTACCCCAGCGGTGAGTGAGGACACCCCCTACCCCAGCGGTGAGTGAGGGAGACACTGACACCCCTACCCAGCGGGGCGAGTCGGGGGAAGCAGTATGGTTATACTAGAGTTAGTGTCTGGCTTCAGATAACAACGTAATTCGATCACAAGCCACCTTTTAATGGTATCAACTCAATCACGAACTGCTTTCAGCGAGGACGACCTTTAGGTCGAAACCGTTCATCAAAATGTTGAAAGGATTTGATGATGGCGTGTTAAAATGCGTGGGTTTGTATCTAAATTAAACTGCATGGGCAGTCGATGTTCTAAAGCAAAACCGAGTGAATCACGTCGTTCGCACCTGACCAAATTAAGCTTGTAAAGAACTTTCAAATTAGAGTAGTAGCCGCAGAAATAATCATCATTACATGAAATGAAGAGCGTCGGTTTAGTGTGTGGACGTCGCGGCAGATGATGAAATGTGTCCGTGCACTCTTGACGTGCCTAGTGGACGGTTCAGCTACAATTGAAATGACTTCACATCGCTGCAACGATTATTGCCTTGCTTTTTAGTAAGCGTAGGCGACTAAAGTCTATTTCGAGATTTGGAAGCGTGTTTGCTGACTGCTGTAGCTTTTGAAGTACGGGTCCGACTCGACAAACATTGTAGTTTGATACACGGTTTCAAATTAGTTCTCTAGGGAGCCGAAGTTGGATTTGCTAGTTCTCTGTTTGTGTTTCCTCAACAGCGCGCCTGCGTTTGAGTTAGGGGGTGGGGTTCACGTGTCGTTCTTGTGTTCCTAACCAGACTGCTCTGACTCGCCTTAGCCCCCACCCACCAGCATCACCTTTCAGTCTGTGTCCCGTCCCAGTTTATAGTTTAACTCGCCCAAGCCTCCTGACCAGGAGGGCTGTTGGCGGCCAGTGTTTGTCCCAGTTAGTGTTGTAACTCGTTTTTTTTTTCCTAGGATTATATTGGAATCAACGATTGGGTCTGCGGTGTAACTCGCCGAACTCATACATATTTATTGGTCAGTGTCCCGTCCCAGTCTGCCCCGTAACCTGCCTCAGTCCCCACACCTGCCGGGCTGTGGGCGGCCAGAGTCCCGTCCGTCTATACTGTGACCTGCCCCAGTTCCCACACCTACCCAGCTGTGGGCGGTCCTCCGTCCGCCTGTTACTGCCGTCAATACACGGCCCCAGCCCTCGTGTCTGTTGACATATTGACGACCACCGGCGTGTGGGCGCCGTCAGCGCTGTTTACATGCCCTTTCCCGTCCGTCCGTCCGTCCGTCCGTCTGACCGTCCGCCCGTCCGTCCGTCCGTCCCTCTGTCTGCGGTCGGGCGGCTGGTCCCCCCTCCTCTATCGCGGAGCGATATGGCATCCACGCCCTCGGCGTCTCTAGAGTCTGTCGTCCTACCATGTCCGTCCAAAAACATCTTTGGGTGCTTTCCCCGGGCTGTCACTTTGACCATCCGTATCTGGACGTTTTTTTCTGACTCATTGTCATTGATGCTGACGTGTGACCTTAGCCGCCTCGAAGCTGTGTCCGTTTTGTCCTCATTTCGGTCGAATGTTACCCCTGCTGTGAGCTGGTCCGCCGCCGGCTGTTACCCTGCTGAGCTGTGTCCGCTCTGTCCTTATGTCGTGCCTGGCCGGCTGCTACCTCTGCCGATACTCTCCGGGCCCGCACCGCTGTCCGGCTGTGACCACTGCTGTCTCTGACCGGTCCCGCGCCGCCGACTGGTACCACTGCTGTGAGCTGTGTCCGTTGTGTCTCCTGCGCTCCGGGAGGGCGTCACCACCGCTCCCACTGACCGTGCCTGCGCTGGCCATGTCGGGCAGGGCTGGCTGTGGCCACTGCTGCGCCCTCCGGGCGTTACCACCACTGTCACTGACCGATCCCGCCGCCGTCGGTCCGCAGAGTTCCAGGACCCGTACGGCATCGTGGTGCTGCTGCAGAACGACCTGGTGGTGGTGGACCTGACGTCGCCGGGCTACCCGTGCTTCGAGAACCCCTACCCGATGGATCTGCACGGCTCGACGGTCACCAGCTGCACCTATCTGGCCGACTGTCCGGGCGACCTGGTGCCGGCCCTCTACAGCGTCGGCACCGCCAAACAAAACAGGTACGACCTGGGCACCGCCAAACAAAACAGGTACGACCTGGGCACCGTCAAACAAAACAGGTACGACCTGGGCACCGCCAAACAAAACAGGTACGACCTGGGCACCGCCAAACAAAACAGGTACGACCTGGGCACCGCCAAACAAAGCAGGTACGACCTGGGCACCGCCAAACAAAACAGGTGCGACCTGGGCACCGCCAAACAAAACAGGTACGACATGGGCACCGCCAAACAAAACAGGTACGACCTGGGCACCGCCAAACAAAACAGGTATGACCTGGGCAACAGGTACGACCTGGGCACCGCCAAACAAAACAGGTACGACCTGGGCACCGCCAAACAAAACAGGTACGACCTGTGCACCGCCAAACAAAACAGGTACGACCTGGGCACCGCCAAACAAAACAGGTGCGACGCGAACGGGGTGACAGATGGGCGCTAGGGCTGTCCGCATGTACGGACACTGCTCCCTGTTGGCACGGACGGACGAGGACTGGGACTGTCCGTACTACTAGACATGGGAGGGGGCGAGGAGGGTCTGGGGTAGAGTGGGCAAACCATAGCCTCCAGTCATCACCATATTCGGAGGCTTTATGAAGCACTGAGGCCTTATGGAGCCGGATGGAATGTAGGACGCTTTGGACGTGACGTTATAACCTTTAAGTGCAGACGCGGCGGCGCGGGGTGCAGGGCCACCCGTGTGCCCCGCCTGCGTGAGGTGCAGGTGGGGGCCCAGAGCCCCTCAGAGGGCGGGGCCGGCTCCCATCCACCGGCGCTCCTAGCTGGCGCCCTGCCGGGTAGGACGATACATAGTTAATTGTGGCGCCTTTGTGCCAGCAGCTGCCAGCCGGTCCGCGTATTCAGGCTAAGCCGACTCCGCGGCCGCCGCCCGCCATCGGACTGCGAGCCGCCGAGGAGGGGATTAGGGAACGGCTGCCAAGAAAAACAACTCCGCTGCAGGTCTATGGGATTTCGCTTTCAGCCTGTTTCACGATGCGTTTATTATGTATAAGGTTTTACCATTTTTAACTCTATAGAGTCTCAAACACAAGAGCTCACTTTGCGAAGAAAACCTGTTAAGATTATTCACAATACGGTGTTGCAGCTTGAGAAATAGACTCTGCCCAAACTTTGTATCAGAGCCAAGTTTTTCCTCGCGTGAGTCGCAGTCCTGAGCTGTGCGTACCTCTGTAGATTAACTAGCTTCTATTAATTGTTCTTTAGCCTCCTGCAATCTCTAGGTGGAAAGTCGCCAACAGTTTCTGTGAATCTAATTGGCTAGTTGTTGGGTGATTGTAGCGGATGCATCACTTCTTCTTCTTCTTTTGCACCTCACCCATCACCTTTTGCATCACTCCACTGCATTCTACGTAGTATGTTGTTGTTTTGTTTCTAGACGAATGGATAAGGTGACATTTGACGCCGTCAACTCTGGTCCGTCGCTCTCCGCTGTGATCAATGCCCGCGTCTCGGGGTCGCTGTACTCGGCGCACCTCAATTAGGGCCGGCCGGCCGAGTCAGCGACTCCGCCCGGCTGACTCGGCCCTGTCCGAGCCGCTGATTGGCCGACTGACTGTGTCGGGGCCGCCGATTGGCTCCTGGGGTGGCAGCCGGGCGTATGATTGGCTGCCGTGGTGACAGCGGCTCGTGTGATTGGCTGCTGAAGTGACGGCCGATCGCTGATTGGTTGCTGGGCTACAGTCAGCCGGCTCTGAGCAGCGTCTGTAATTGTCCGCTTGTGAGGAGTCATTGATGGATAATGAGGCTGTTCTGCCGTATTGAGGTGGCTGACCTGACAATGCCACCTCTGGGGATAGGCGGGAGGCGACAGCTGCTGGCTTATTGGACCGGACACTGCCGTATGAAGCCTGCCATGGACTGCCGCCCGGCCGCCAGTTCTGGCGGTAATATTATGATAAATAATTGCTGGTAGGTATAGGTGGAACGTTCCGAGCGTTGAGCTGTTAGGCGAGACGTTGTCTTCAATTAGCCTACCAGTTCTTTATCCCGTTCCGCCTTGATATGCCTAGCTGTATGGGCGGAGTTTTCAGTGCAACGTTTGTAGATGGTTTGTTCAACGCCTGGTAGAAGCTGTTTCGCAGGTAAGAAACACATGGCCTGGTAATGTTCGCTCTTTGCACATTGATGATCACTTTCTATGGCGCGGTGATTTGGATAATCACAGCTGATCGTACGCTCGATGCTTTTATATGAGCTCTGGCTGGGTTTTTCGTCCGGCTCCGGGATTCAACTGCACTGCATCAGTATTCTATGGCGTTGTTTGGACCGAGCGAAACAAAACTCGTTCCCTTATTTGTTGTTCAGAATAGAATTAGCATCGTTTTGTTCTCGAGCCAGAGCTTCAGTAAGCTTCCAGCGTTAGCGTTTGTTTGCGCTCTTTATTTCGCTCAGTCATTTCATTTGCTTGAAAAGCCGAGAAGAAAGACTTTGCGCTTTTCTGCTCTAACTCTGCAATAAGAGCCAACATCTGGAGACTTCATATTGCTATATCTCTGTTCCA